GAACAAGCCCACCTCCCTCCCTGGGGCTGCTGCCATCATTCTTCAACGCCAGTTTCCTCTTCTCTGTGGCCCACACTAGAAAGCAATGCATGTTCACAGCTCTCCCGCTACCTTCCTGCCTCTATAACAAACAGAATGCTTTGCAGGATTTTCATATTGCAGAGATAGATGCTGGATTTAAAAAATAAATAAACGAAAGTGCAGAGAGAATTGCAATATGTCCTGAAAGTGTTAGAGTGGTATTTACTTTCATAATGCATCATAATGCAGACGGATCAAGCGTGATCTCTCTTAGCTCCTTTTTTCATCTTCTCTCTCCTCTCCTTGACATCTGAGCTACATCCAAACATCCCTTTTAATCCCGGGACTGATGCTACTCAGTCTCCTCCATCCTGCAGCAGACTTTACTCTTGAATCTCTCAAAAATCTTGCAAATAAACTGGTTCAAGCGGGCACAGAAATAAAATCAATGTATCCTGGAGTTGCATGATGGTACCAGGAGGTTTTGCTTGCACATTTCTCAAATCTGTACTTGCCTCAAATGCTGTGAGGTAGGTGCCTATGACCAACATCACTAGCCCCATTTCTTCCATTATGCAGATGAGGAACCTGAGGCTCGAAAAGCTAGGTGATTTGTCTGAGATCACACAGGTAGGAAGTGACAATATTAAAACCTTCTAATAGATGATTTTGTTTCTGATACCTCAGAGAAAACTTCAAATTGCCTCTATCTGAAGACAGTCCTATTTCTGGCGTAAGGACTCAGCTGCCTAAACAACATCAGGTGTCTTCCTCTTGGCAAAGTGACTGGAGAAAGCGAGGACATGTGGGGTGAGGGCAGGGGGGTTAACACTGGGGCCTGAGGCATTGCTCGCAGACCACCTCTGCATATATTTCATCAATTAAAGGGCCATCTATGTTGGCAAAAATTCTCCTTTAAAAACAGAAGTACCTTCGGGGAGGATTAAGCCTCTCAGAGACACTTAAACCACAGGAGTCACCCCATGTAGCAATTCGTGCACAGAATGTTTAACCACAGGTCAACAAGTCTTTATAAATAAGGTGTTCTTTATTCAGTAGAATACCATACGGCAATGAGAGTGAATCTACACACAGCCGTAGGTCAATGGGAGAACTAAGACACCAAAGAATACATATCAGATGATTGTGCTTTGTAAAGTCCAAAAACAGGCAAACCTAATCCATGGTGTTTTAAGTCAGGATGTTTGTTCCCTCTTGGATGCAGGCAGGTGGTAAAACAGAAGTGAGGCTTTCCCTAACATCTTTGCTCCTTGAAACCCTGAATAAGGTTTAGGGCCACAGGAACAGAAGTCAGACAGAACTAGATTAAAATCTTGGTTCTGCAACTGAATGACTTTGAACAATTTAAACTCCTTGTGTCTCAGATTTTTCTACCTATAAAATGGGACTAATAATACCTTCCTCAGAGGGTTGGTGTGAGAAGTAAAGGAAACAATGTATGTAAAGTGCCCCACAGCATGCGTAGGTGCTGTAATAAATGGGAACTATTATTAACCCCGCCCCTGTTGCCTGATGGTAAGAGTACAGATGAGAAGGAAAGCGAAGGAGCAAACTAGGCTTATGATCAAAGATGAGCAGAATCCACCAGGATGCTGTCCTGGAGGGTGCAGTTCCTTCCCTTCCCACTGCCTACACGGTCTCCTCAATCTTGCTGCCTACAAGTGCAGGCTGGCCCAGCACAGCCAGACAAAGCTGTTTTGGTCCTATCCACACAGGCCCTTGCTAGGGACCTGATACTATTCTGATAAATTAAATTGTACTAATGCTTTCATAGGGGTTTCTAGCAGCTTACTGGGTTACCCTCCTGGTGATGTAAGTTGCATTTTAAGCAGAGCATTATGGACATACAAGACCATGACCTAAGCTGGGTGTAATTTCACCTTTTCCCAAAAAGGAGTCAGGTGGGGGTGGGGAGGAGGGAAGAATACAGTATGAACAAGATAGTGTTAAGGTCAAGGCTGCAGGAACAATCCAGAGACTGGGAAGTCCCAGGCTATAGGGACTCTACATGCTTTCCTTCTGACCACAGAAAAAGAACAGGGCCAGACGTCTTAAGGGAAGAGAGGTGTCCCTCTGGGAGACCCCATCAGCTAAGGGGCCTATGGCTCCTGGGAGACCAGAGCAGAGTAGCAGAGTAAGAATTCTTGGTTTTGATTTTGTGCTGTTAAATTATGTCTTAAGGCATCCATGCAGGGAATATTGGTCAGCAACAAAAAGGTGAAACTGCTGACACATGCAACAACACGGATGAATCTCGGGAGCATCGTGTTAAAGGGAAAATACCAGACTCGAGAGACTATGTGAGATTCCAGAAAGGGCAAAACTTATCCATGCTCACATAAAGCCTGGGGCTGGAGGTGGGATTGATTCAAAGGGGCACCAGGAAATGTTTTTAGGTGATGAGAATATTCTGCATCTTGTTATGAGGGCATATGCATTTGTCAGAGCCCCCCATTGAACCGTACACTTGGGATGGATGCAATTTATTTTATGCAAGTTATCCCTTAATAAAATTGATTTTGGAGGAAAAAAATATGATGTCTTAGTCACAGAGGTTGTTCCACTCCGGGAACAAGCTGGGAGGCCTGCAGGGGAATTTCAGCAAGTCTTAGCCTCCACCGTTCTCCTAGCAAATTAACGTGTGCTCAGTACTTTACAGTTTATGAAGCACTTTCCCCTCTTGTGATCATTACACCCACTCTATGACGTGGGCATGATTAAGCACATTTTATAGCTAAGGAAACAGAGGCACAGAATGGCTAAGGGAACTGGCTGAAGTCTTTGGACTCAGAATCCTGCTATCTTTCCATTGTCCGAGACTTTCCTGGAAATGGCCTCAGAGATTGTCCAGGCCAAGGGAAGCAGAAGTGAAGAGATATAAATAACTTGATGAAGTTGTGCTGCTAGTGAAGGACAGAGCCTAATATCAAAGGTGTGCTCTTCTCACAACAAACATAACGAGAACATTCCAAAAGGGGATCATCATGAATGGAGACGGGGTGGACTTTTTGCTCCCCATATATGAGATTTGCAGACCAGGATAGAGAACCAATCCTAAAACAAAAGCAAGACTTCTTTCCAGGGCTCTAGACTCCACCTCTCACTGCATAAAGCAGTCTCCCCATCCCACCCCCTCAAGTCCCAAGGGTCTTGTAACTTTAACAAACTTTAACAAACCAAGCACACACATTACCTCACCACAGTCTGGCTTATTTCCTAGCAGCGATTGTCCAGAGCTTGCTCCATTTCCCCCCTTCTGTTGGCTTTGTACCCTTCGCCCATTCCTCCCTGCTGAAATCACACAGCTCCGACCCCAGTGAGCCAGCAGGAGCCTCCTCCTCCTCCTTCCCAAAGTCCTGAATGTTAGAAAAGAGGGCCCCAGTGCAGAGCGATGTGTATAACATGGCCCCTTCTGTACATGTATTTTAAAAGCATGTGTGTGTGTGGGAGCAGAGGGAGGGAGGGAGGGAAAGGTGTGTGATGGTGTGTACACAGGGCAAGACAATCCTGGGATGAATCACAAGAAACAGTTGATGGTGGTTCCCTTGGGAGACAGAAATTGGAAGGTTGATGGGAGGGTTGTACTTTCCAATTTTGTTTCTCAACATGAATTTTCTAACCAGTGTACATGGCTATGCCAATAAGGGTAATCTGTGCCAAGAAATTATGGACCATATTTGTCTTATACGTATCTGTATAAGAAAGAGGAAAACCTGAGAAGCATTAATTTTTGAAAATAAAGGAAGCACCTATAACTCACCATCTCTATTTCTTACAGTGACCGAAACATGCAATAATTTAAATGATAGAAAAACTAATATGAATGTTCACCCAGATGGGATGGAGTCAGGGAGCAGTGTAGGCAAGGGGCCAGGAGTGAAAGCTAAGGCCTATTCTTCAGTAAATGCATCACTCCCCTCCGAGCCACGGTGGCCTCTGTGTGCACCTCGGCTGGGGTCCACTTCTGCCTACGATTTTAGTCATCTATGTGCTTCTTCACATCCTGGCCCCCGAGATTCCTCAGATGAATAGCCTGTATAGGGCAGGGACTGTTTTACTCTTCTTTGGTGCTTTCAGAGCTTAATGTATACATAGTAGAAACTAAATCAACATTTATTAAATAGAATGTCAGGCAGTCTCCAAGAGGGTGGGAGGGCACGTGGCTCGATTCCACTAGATAGGGTTATAATATCTTTCTCTGCCACTCATACCAGGAACCTTCCCCAATTCTTCATGTCGGCTCTGTAAGGGCATGGCAAGGTTCAAACTCCTTCGCATGTTTACGAAGACCTTCCCTGCTCTGGCCCGCACCTGCCTTTCTGCCCCGGTTCCCAAGACAAATCCTGCGCCCCAGTAGTCAAACTGGTCCATTCACCACTCCCTGAGCACACCTTGAGGCTCCCAGCTTTCTGGCTCTTGCTCGTGGCTTTCCTAATCTCTGCCACTGAAAACCTGGGTCACTCTGCCTTCTCCCTGAAGACTCACCTAACGCGCCCCGCTGGCTGGGCTTGCTTCCTCTTCTAATCCCCCAGGTGCTTCACTTAGGGTTGTGCCCCGCCTCGCATTGTGATCATCTGAGCCTCCTCTTACTAGAGGGTGAAGATGTGTCTCTTACCCCTGTCTTTCCCGGTGTCTATTACAGTTCTAGGGCCTGCAAAAAGGGAGAGGGAGGAAGATAAGGGTGTAGTTTAAGTCAGAAGTAGAATTCATTAGGTTAGAGCCTGGATCAAGACCGAATTGGGTTTAGGATTAGAATTGGGACAAGCTTGGCAAATTCCTGGTCCCACCCCACTAGGCGGCGCCCACAGTCTCAGTCAGGTCAAGACGCCTCCGGTTTTTGAAGTTTATTACCTGTATAACAGGTTTCCTTCCCGTCCTACTGTCCCTTTAAGAAGGTGAACCAGGTGAGCCCGGGACTCCGCCCCCAACTCTGGCCCCGCCCCCCGCCCCCGCCCGGCCCACCCTGTCCCTCGCGACCTGGCCAAGCCGTCCGGGCCGCGGTCCCAAGTCCGGGCCCCGCGCCATGGATCGGCGCTGGCCCCTGGGGCTCGGGCTGCTGCTGCTCTGCGCCCCGCTGCCCCCGGGGGCGCGCGCCAAGGAAGGTACGGACCCCCGCCCGCGCGGCTCCCCCGCCCCGGCCGGCCGGCGCCTCCTGCGGGAGCCGGCATTCCTGAGCAGGCCCTCCTCCCCGCGCCCCTGCCCCGCTCCCTTCTTTGGCCTGGCCTCCTGCTCTAGACTGGCCAGGCCCATCTTTGATCTTTAACCCCAAACCGCTGCTCTCCCGGCTCAGTCACCCCCACCCCTGCTGGCCGGCAGTTTGCGCCTGGGGGTGGGGAGGGAGCCCCTGACCACTACCGGGAGGCAGCGTCCGCGCCCGCATTCAAGCCCTGGTGGGACCCTTCATTCCCACACAGCCCCAGCCTCAGGTGCCCACCCCAGAGTCTGAGCCCCCAGAAGTCGAAGGTGGGACGTCGTTTCCTGTCAACCTAGGCCAGGGCCAGGGACCTGACGCTGGGGGAGGGGTTAGGACTGGCCTACAGCTTGCACGCCCCCTCCAGCCCCGCTCCCCCATTATCCAGGCTGGGCACTGTGCCATGTATCCTCCTCCACAGCCCCAGTCACTGGCCCGAGCAGCGCTCTGACCGTGGGATTGACCCTCCCCACCCAGGAACCCCCTTCTGAGGTCCCTAGCCACCCCTACCCACTCCTGAGTGCAGAGGTGAGCTCCTCCTGCCCTCCACCCCTTCCGGTCCTGCTGCGGGTGGGTGCCCCAGGCGCACCAGCCCAAAACCCCCGTAACTGCAAGTCAGGTGGAGCTGCTCTTCCTCCTGCCTCCTGCCTTGACTCTTGCCAAAGACCCAACACTCCAACCCTTGCCCCACTCTGCCTCCCTCCCTACCACTCAGAAAGAAGACAGTGTAAGCCCTGGAGCTCTTCCCTCCTCCTTCCTGGGCCCTTTTCCTCCCCTAAGCCCCAGGAAGTCACAGCTGTTAGGAACAGGATGTTGTGGCCTGGGGCTGGGCCCCCAGAATTAGGAATGTGTGTTGCATGGGCATCTCCTCCCCCAGAGGTGACAGGCTCCTTTTCTCCCACCTTCAGTTACTCTGATGGACACAAGCATGGCACAGGGAGAGCTGGGCTGGTTGCTGGATCCCCCAGAGGATGGGGTAAGTGTTAGGGGAAGGGAAGGAGCTAGGAAGTCTCAAGGCTGAAGGCCAGTGGGAAATGGGGCGGAGAGGTGGGTGGAGGAACAGAGAAAAGAGCAGGAAAAACTGGAAGTGTCTCCTCTGGGAGGGGGAGGGGAGGCTGAGTCAGAGATTCCTGAATGGGTTATGGGAGGGAAGGGGGTGCCACACATCAGACTTCAGACTTCACCCCAAGTTGCATACTTGTGAATACCAATGAGGGGATGATGAGCCCATATCCCCCAGGGAGGGGATGTACCATGCTGGGGCTGGATGAAGCTGAGGCCACTGCTTTGCTTGGAGAGGGACAGAAACATGAGAAAAGCATCCTAAATCCGAGATCCATTCATCCCAATGGAGTTGCATGGGTAGTTTTCAGGGGGTCAGGGAGCTCCATAATAGTGTATTTTAAATTCTGTATTTGTATGCAGACATTTTTTTTCTGGAGTGGCAAGCCAAAGCTTTCATCAGATTTTTCAAAGGGTCTTTGACTTGCCCAAAGTTAAAAGTTACTACTATAGGGGTCTCTGAGCCCCTGGCACGTTGTCCATACCTCCCTAGGCAGGCTCTGTGCACACTATGCACTCCAGCTGTTTGAGGGTGTAAGAGCTTGCTCCAAGTCCCTTCCCTCCTTGCATGTTGCTAAGACCCAGCGAACAGAGGTAGGTTGTCGGGTGACTTTCAGAGAGCACCTCTGGTGATACAGGAAAAAACAAACTCAGTTTCTTTCCTGCCATATTCTCACAACACAAATCACTTCTGTGACCTCTGGTCACCAAAATGTGTGTAGGGATTTGTCCTCACCAGCAATCAATTCTCTGGCGGACTCTTCAGCGGACACCTCTAATTTTATTTGACTCTGACACTATTTACCTGTAGATAGCCTCAGGTTGAGAGCTCAGCCCGGCAAGACTGCTCCCCACTTCAGACACCAATTGCAAGTAATAAGTTGTCACCTATACTTCTTTTGATCAGATTTAAACTGGGATCTCCATGACCCCCTTCTCAGGGACAGCTCACAGAACCTACATTTACTGGTTTATTATAAAGGATATTACAAAGGATACAGATGAGCAGCTGGATGGTGGAGATGCAGGGGGCAAGGTGTGCAGGAGGGGTGCGCCACCCTCCAGGAACCTCCTCATGTGCAGCTATGCCGAAGCTCTCTGAACCCTGTCCTTTGGGTTTTTATGGAGGCTTCATCACAGCACCATGATTGATTAAATCACTGGCCATTGGTGATCAGCTTAACCTTCAGCCCCTCTCCCTTCCAGGGAGGTTGGGAGTGGGGCTGACAGTCCCAGCCCTCCAATCTCTAGGTTGGTTCCCCTGGCAACCAGCCCTCCTGGGTCCTGGAGCCCCCCAGCCCTCAGCCAGATCATTAGCATAAAAAAAGAGACATCACTGGTAGATGCCCAGTGTTTTAGGAGTTGTTTGCCAGGAAAGGAGGACTAAGACCAAACATATTTTACAATATCACAGCATCCTTTCTGCCCCGCAGCAAAGCCCTCACAGAGCCACAGGAGGCTGCCTCAGTTGCTGGAGCCTGTCGGACCCTGGTTCTGGACCACCTTGTCTTGGTGTTTCCTTTTTCACTCCAGTACTTGGGACTTCAATCCAGCCTCTGCTTTCTTTCCCTCTGGGTCCTAGGGTCCTGGCTCCTCCATTCCCTGCTCTCCCACGGAGTGGCCTGTAATTAGAGTTAATAGACTAAACCATAATGTATCCTCCAGGAGGGGCTGTTTGAAAATCCTGGATTAGGCCAGCCCTAATAGGTGCCTTATCTCATAAACCAGCTAATCACCTCACAACATGGCTGCGGGCCCATCTGCTGGCTCCCAGGGGCCTTCATGGCGCCCCTGCCACCTCCAGCCACATAACTCTTCCCTAATTGGGCTGGAGTGCAAGCAAGGCCCCTTTCTCAGCTCAGGCGAAATAGCCTTGCACGCCAGGAGGACAAGAAGATGGCCAGCAGTCACACACTCCCACCATCTACGTTGTCGCCTCTCCTCCCCATCTTTTCAGAACGCACACGCACATGCACACACGCACATTCGTGTTCAGGCTCCCCAGAAGGCACCCATGTAGCAGCCAGCAGGGCCTGAGTGATAAGGGAAGAGATCCTTATTGCTGATCCTGGGCAGCTGGTTGTCCCCCATCTGTCACTGCTGGAACTGGGAGAGGCAAGTTACAGCTGGGAACATCTGCTTCTCCTGGCTCCAGCTGCAGCCGCGGCAGTCTGGCTAATGATCCGCACATTAACCACCCACCAGCCTGTCCACCTGCCCCATCCCACACCTCCCCCTCGGGCTTCCCCAGCCCAGCTTCCCCCTCAGAGTAGACTCTAGGTGCCTTTTTCATTCCAGCTTCCTGGCCTTTCCGACACCCCTTGCCCGATCTTTGAACTCCCTAACATAATGCAGAAATATGCCTCGAAGCAGCATACATTTCTTCCCCACTCTACCCCAAATTCTTAATTAAGGGTGCTTTGTCTTCCCTTTTGCTAGAGCTGAGAGTAGGAATGAGAGCCTGCATTATAGTGGAGTAAAAACCTGGGGAAAGTAAACTTTCTAAGAGCCTTAATCTCTTTTCTATTAAATTATGGGGTTGTAACCAAAATATCAATGGACTATTTAATAGAATTTGAGAGCTGTTTTCTTAAATTTATCTGTCAAAGGAAATACTTAAGAATGAATAAAATATTTTTTGAAGAAGAAGAATGAAAGGGGAGACTTGTCTGACCAACAGATATTAGAACATCCACTATAAATCATGTGGCATCGCACAAGATCACTCAGGTCAATGGAACAGAACAGAGAATCCAAAAACAAGCCCACATATGTGAGATTTGAGTATGTTTTAGCATTGGAATTGCAAATCAGTGTGGAAAGTATTGACTAGTCAATAAATTGACAAGCGGATATTCATATTTTTTTAAAAAAAGGTAAAGCTATATCTCCACTTCGCATTATACACACATAAAAAATAAATTCTAGGGAGATTAAAATCCAAACCTAAAAACCAAACCTACAGAAATTTAGGGTAAAATATAGATCTTCATAATCTTGGGATGTAAAAGCTTCTCAAGCAAAATATACATCCCAGAAATCATAAAGGGAAAGACTATAAATGTTATTATGTAAAAATGTGCAATATATGTCCACTCCAAATACACCATCGGCAAAGTTAAGTGGCATGGCAGACAGGGAGAAAATATTTGAAATATACGTTTCAAGCAAATGATTAATGTCTATAACGTGGAGAAAAAAGTCTCATCCAAATAAGTAATCAAAAGATAATAGCATATCAGCCAAAGGTTATGAACAGATAATTACATAAAAATAACAAATAGCCAAGGAACAAAAGAGAAACACACAAGGTCTTCCTTAAAGAAATGTAAATTAAAATGATAAGAAGCTGTGTTTTGACTGTAGGATTGGCAAAAAGTAAAAAGATCATATCCAGTGTTGACGAGGTTTTGAGAAAATGAGCCCTCTTGCGTTGGTGGTGACAGTGTAAATTGATAAAGCCTTTTTGGAAGACAATTTGGCAGTTTCTTATAAAACGTTTAGTATGTCTACCTTAGATGTGGATGGCACATCCGTACAATGGAGTATTATTTATGGATTGCTAAAAAGAGTTAGATAGATCTCTATGTATTCGTGTGGACATCTTTCAAAGACTTATTATTTGTGAAAACAGAAAGCAGGTTACAAAATAACACTTGTATGATCTCATTTATCCTAAAACACAGAACATACAAACATTTCTCTGGAGACATGGAAAGTTTTACTCCAAATTGTTAAGAGTGGCTGCCTCAGGGAATGAGGGTGGAAGGATGGAGGGGATTAAACTTTTTATTTGATGTGGGGCTTTACTCTTTGACGTTGTACAATAAACACACGGAGGCATAATGTTTAAGAGCGTGAACTCCGGAGCCTGGTCCCTGGCTGACGTCCCCACAGGCCACTCGACCTCACTGTGCCTCAGTTTCCCCATGGCAAGTGCTCAGAACAATGACTGGCCCCTGATAAGCACTGTATTAATGCTAGCCATTATTATTACAAAGTTTAAAAATTATTTTAATGTAAAAGAAGTTAGGAGGGCGGGCTAGGTGATGTCTAGAAGTCCAGCCAACTCTTTGTGTCAATTGCTGATTTCGATAATGGCTACACCTGGAAGGAATATTGGAGAAGGTGAGATTCCCCTATACAGAGAGTTCTGTGACTTGTTATTGTCCTCTGAAAGCTTAGGGGCTTTTTAAAAATAAGTCTCTTCTCTGCACAAACAGGCAAAAGGGTTTTGTGACTGAGCTTTGCTTTTGGGATACCTGACATCTCTGCTGATGAAAAAGCTAAAAATTAGCGCTCACGCTTTCTTACAGCTGGACTAGGCTAATTAGGGACCAGGGCTGACTAGAGATGTTAAGGGGCTATTTTCTTGCCCATCCTATATCCAAACAAATTACCAACCCTAAACATTTAACCTACTATCCTGGAGCTGAGGGGTGGGGAGAGGCAGGACAAGTAGCATGAACTGGGGGGCTCTGACACCAGCTTCCTCTCCATCAGCCATAAAAAACAAGGGTTTGGGGAGCAGGCGATGATCCAACATCCGATTCTGATTCTCTCCTCACAGTGGAGTGAGGTGCAGCAGATGCTGAATGGGACACCCCTGTACATGTACCAGGACTGCCCAGTGCAAGAAGGCGGAGACACGGACCACTGGCTTCGCTCCAATTGGATCTACCGGGGGGAAGAGGCTTCTCGTGTCCACGTGGAGCTGCAGTTCACCGTGAGGGACTGCAAGAGTTTCCCTGGGGGAGCCGGGCCTCTGGGCTGCAAGGAGACCTTCAACCTTCTGTACATGGAGAGTGACCAGGATGTGGGCATTCAGCTCCGACGGCCCTTGTTCCAGAAGGTACTGCTGCCCATCTTTGCTGTCTCAGTCCTAATGCTCACTCCACTCATCCGAGGAAAAAGAGAGAAGGTGACAGATGTAGGACCAGAAAAAGAATGTGGCACCAGTCATCAGAAGGGCTGGATTTGAGTACCTTTTCTGCTGTGCCCTGACTTCGGGGGTATCATTTAACCTCTCTAAGCTTCTGTTTCCTTGTCATAAAGTAGAGACAATAATAGGGCCAGCTTTATCTAGTTTAGAGTGTTTTAGAAGCATCCATTGAGGTAACAGGATGCCACGGTGGAAGAGGGGAGCGTTGTGCAGAGGTATTGAGACTTTTTCCATCAGTCCTGTGACGTTCATGTGCGGCACAGCCCCTTGGGCACTGCTGGAGTGGTGTGGTCAGACAGTTCCCTGCAGGCTGGTGCTGTCTAACACCACCCCTTCTTTCCTACTCAGGAAAACAGACTGCAATGCAAAAGAGTAAGGAGCATTTTACCATAGGATGTGCTCTCGTTTCTTTCGAAAGAGAAAATGTTGTAAAGTTTATTAGCAATAAATTAATTATGACACGCTCTGTTACCGATTGCCTCATTGGCACTAGAGTTGGGAACACATCTGAGTAGTGGAAATTTTATGGACCATAGAGCACCAGTGCCTGGATTCCAGTTCTGGCCTCATCATGCAACTTCTCTTAGCTTCACTTTCCTCCCCTGTGAAGCAGAGACGATAAGCTACGTGGGCTAAATAGCATCGTGCACAGAAAATGCTGCACCTCACACATAATGAGCTCTTCATTCATGGTTGTGCAGATTGTAAAGTATTAAGCAAACACAGAGAATCGTTTCTGTGGTGTGGGGAAGAAGCAGTTGCCAATGCTCCCCTCTTCCCCCCACCTTCTTCCCAGGTCACCACGGTGGCTGCGGACCAGAGCTTCACCATTCGAGACCTTGCCTCCGGCTCCGTGAAGCTGAATGTGGAGCGCTGCTCCCTGGGCCACCTGACCCGCCGTGGCCTCTACCTCGCTTTCCACAACCCGGGTGCCTGTGTGGCTCTGGTGTCCGTCCGGGTCTTCTATCAGCGCTGTCCTGAGGCCCTGCACGGCTTGGCCCACTTCCCTGACACTCTCCCCGGACCCGCTGGGTTGGTGGAAGTGGCAGGGACCTGCTTGCCCCATGCACAGACCAGCCCCGGGCCCTCGGGTGCACCCCGCATGCACTGCAGCCCCGACGGGGAGTGGCTGGTGCCAGTGGGACGGTGCCAGTGTCGGCCTGGCTACGAGGAAGGCAGCGACGGCAAGGGATGTGTTGGTAAGGACAGAGGTGGAGAGAACCCAAGGGCCTGTTTGGGAGGGTCTCTGGGGTGCTACGGCAGGAAAGGAGGCAAATGCTCCCTCTCAGCTGTTTTTAACCCGAGTGCCCCGGAGCATGCAGGGCTGTTTTCAGTATAGGGATTGGGATGAAGGTGGTGGTTCTGCCTGTGAAAACATTAGAAAGCCACGGCTCTGCTGCGTTCTCTCCAGCCTGCCCTAGCGGCTCCTACCGGATCAACATGGACTCACCTCATTGTCTCAAGTGCCCCCAGCACAGCACCGCCGAGGCTGAGGGGACCACCATCTGTACCTGCGAGAGTGGCCATTCCAGAGCCCCTGGGGAGGGCCCCCACGTGGCATGCACACGTGAGTCCGGGGCGGCTAGGGCTGGCCATCTGGGAGGAGGTGATGGCCCTTTGCTGAGCCCTTGGCCGGGTCAGGATGTGCCAGAGCTTATTAGACACTGGAGATAGCCCAGAGTGTCAGGCACGTTCAGCCCTGCCCTCCCTAGAAGAACTCAGAGATATAGTCAAGCTACACTCAGTGGGAATGGAATCTCCCCACAAGGACCTGGGTGGTGGGTGGAGGCGGAGTCTGCAGCCCGGATGACAGCGAGGCTGACTCCCGCTGACAGCTCCTCCTCTCCAACAGGTGCCCCCTCAGCGCCCCGAAACCTGAGCTTCTCTGCATCGGGGACTCAGCTCTCCTTGAGGTGGGAGCCCCCAGCAGATATGGGGGGACGCCAGGATGTCAGATACAGTGTGGAGTGTTCCCAGTGTCGGGGCACAGCGCCAGATGGGGGGCCCTGCCAGCCCTGTGGCGGGGGCGTGCGCTTCTCTCCAGGGGCCAGGGGGCTCACTGCCCTTGCTGTGCGAGTCGAAGGCCTGGAACCCTATGCCAACTATACCTTCAAGGTTGAAGCCCTGAACGGAGTGTCTGGGCTGGGCAGCTCCAGCCACGCCAGCGCCTCCCTCAGCATCGGCATGGGGCATGCAGGTGAGGGACCCGGCGGGCCAGGCCAGAGGAGTGGGCTTAGGACCACAGGGGCACACTGATGGGCAGGGAGCAGTTGAAAACCTACTCACATTATTTCCTGTTTCCTTCCAAATCTGACTTTATCCCTCTGGACAGAGTCACTGTCGGGCCTGTCTCTGAGGCTGGTGAAGAAAGAACCAAGGCAGCTGGAGCTGGCCTGGGCAGGGTCCCGGCCGCGCAGTCCCGGGGGGAACCTGAGCTACGAGCTGCACGTGCTGAACCAGGTCAGGCTGCCACTGAGAGGCGGTCTTCGGTGTCCGTGCCTGGGCACACTCCACCCACATTCTCAGCCTGGGGGGCAGGATGGGAGGAATCTACCCAAAGTAAACTGCATGGCTTTCTTAGGACAAAAGTCTACGAAGACCCTGACCTCACCATTCTGCTAGCGAGCCCCTCCCCACGTGCTCCCACAAGCATCCATCACGTCCACCCGCACCTGGCTCAGCAGGGCCCGGGTAACGCTAGTCCCACCCATAGGACGAAGAACGGCACCAGATGGTTGTAGAACCCAGGGTTTTGCTGACAGAACTGCAGCCTGACACCACGTACATCGTCAGAGTCCGAATGCTGACCCCGCTGGGCCCTGGCCCTTTCTCCCCCGACCACGAGTTTCGGACCAGCCCGCCAGGTGGGGTGTCTCGTGTTCTTCCCCAAACACACATGCACCTGTGGTCCCACTCAGTGAGCCTTCCTCTTCCTCTGCACACATGCACGCATACCTGTCCCCTGGTATAAGGGACAGACACATGCCCGACACCCAATGAGAAACCTGACCCTGGATGTACCTGAGGCCCTGCCCTTTACCCCCCACCCCCTGGACTGTGCCCCCCTGCCGTGCTTCCTCACTCCATGTGCCTGCAGTTTCCAGGGGCCTGACAGGAGGAGAGATTGTGGCCATCATCTTTGGGCTGCTGCTCGGGGTAGCTCTGCTGCTCGGCATCCTCGTCTTCCGTTCAAGGTGCTGGCTCCGCCCCTCCCACCTGCCGCTCTGGGTCCCTTTGCCCCTGACCGTAGCCCTGACGACCTTCCCACCCCCTGGTGCCAAAATTCAGGGGTGTCCCCATACCCATCCTGCACTCCCAGCCCCCGTTGTCTCTGGGGGAAATTCAGCCGTAGCCCATTGGGCCCCTGAGGTGTCCTGAGACCCTGAAGAAGCTGGTCCCCAACCCCACAGGAAAGCACAGCGGCAGCGGCAGCAGAGGCAGCACGATCGCACCACTGACATGGATCGGGGTGAGCCGTGAGCACCTTTCTGTGTGCCCGTGCATGCGTGTGCGTGTGTGTGTGTGTGTGTGTGTGTGTGTGTGTGTTGGGGGGTGCCACTGGGAAGGATCCAAGGGACCCACACTTGCTAGGCCAACTCTGGGGGTGCAAATGGGGTTTCTTGTCCCTAAGGCTCCTATGCTTTGCTACCTGATTAACTTTGGTTAATTAACTTTGTGCTAATAGCCCCCAGTGGCTCTGAGGCAATTATCTCTTAGCTGTTGGTGCCCCTGTCCCATCACCCTGGGCTCTGGGCAGGCTTCCACATCCCCAAGGCGGAGCGGGAGGGGAACTAAGGTCCTCCAAGGCATGTGGGTTCCTGTTCTTCACCTCATTAAGTGCCCCACAGAAGAGGAGCGAGTGATCCGACTAGGTCTGGGAATGTGAACGAGGTGTGACTGATGGGTGGGGTCTGGGGATGGGTTCGGAGGAAGGGCAGGAGTGGAGGCCGGGAGGATCTGCCCTGCGGGTGTGGGTTCTGGCCCACTGCTCTGGCCTTGGGGAGCGAGGACAGAGGATCTTGGAGCGTAGACAGGGAGAAGGCAGCTTAGCTGCCAAGGACAGAGACTGTCTCCCACTTCAGCCCACACAGGAGTCACTCGGGGAACAGGGAAGTGTGGAGAAGAGGTGGGTGTGCTGCTGGCCCCTTCCTCCTCGCCTCCCCCCAGCACTGCTGGTGCTTCTGTGGCCGAACCCCTCCTTCCCCCACAGAAGATAAGCTGTGGCTGAAGCCCTACGTGGACCTCCAGGCATATGAGGACCCTGCCCAGGGAGCCCTGGACTTCACCCAGGAGCTTGATCCAGCCTGGCTGATGGTGGACACTGTCATAGGGGAAGGTGAGCCCTGCCATGCACAGCAGCCAGCCCTCTGTGTGGCCGCACAGTGCCGCCAGCGGGCCCCTTCTTTCTGGCCTTTCCCTGGGGAGCCCAGCTGGCCTCTTCTCTGGCCCAAGAGTTTCCAGATGAGTTCACTCTCTGCTTTGCCCTGTGTCCTCCTCAAACTGCTGTGTTCATGTTAAAAACCCCTCCTTGGGTGTCCTGGAGCAGACCCTGCCTCCACACACTTGCTTCTATGGTCACGGAGTTTCTGATAAAGAGTGCTGAGCACATTGGCCTTGTCTGTAGAGGTGCTGCTGGCTGAGACCCGGGCTGTTCTCCAGTGGCTCCCAAGTGTGGGAGCGATTCAGAGCCTCCCCAGCCCACATGCCACCCGTCAGAGGCCCAGTGTCCTTGGGCTGCCTTGATCCCTTGAGTCACCAGAGGAAATGGACCTGAGCAGAGAACAAAACATGGCACTGTCCTTGCCAGTCGTACAGCCAAGCTGGCTGAGCCTCAACCAGAGGAGCTTACGGAAGAGAAGTGGCAATGGTCAGCGTCCCCGGTTACCTGGGCACTAGCCCTGGACCAGCCTGCCCTTCATGGACACACCCCAGTCCCGCTCAGGGCTCATTCACCCAGCGTTTACTGAGCACCTGCTGCAAGCCAGGAACTGTGCTCACACTGGAAGACAGAGGTGAATGGAGTTTCACTCCGGTTCCACACTCTGTCCTTACCCAGGAAGCTCACTCCACGCTTCTGATCCTCCAGAGAGGAAAGGGGGACTGGCAGACTCTGGGAGAGCCTGGCAGTGCCCTGGGCCATGCCCCTGATTTCCTTCCACCCAGGAGAGTTTGGGGAAGTGTATCGAGGGACCCTGAGGCTCCCTGGCCAGGACTGCAAGCCTGTGGCCATTAAGACCTTGAAAGACACATCCCCAGATGGCCAGTGGTGGAACTTCTTTCGAGAGACGACCATCATGGGCCAGTTCAACCACCCGCACATTCTGCATCTGGAAGGCGTTGTCACAAAGAGTATGAGGAGTGGTCTCCCTGGGCACGGGGGATGGGGCGGGGAGGAGGGATGAGACCACTGAAGTGGAGGGAGGATGGGCTGCCAGGGCAGGAAGCCTCAGCTTGGTGGGATGACCTGTGCTCTGTGTCTCAGGAAAGCCCATCATGATCATCACAGAGTTTATGGAACACGGAGCCCTGGATGCCTTCCTGAGGGTGAGGAGGGCAGAGAACCAGTGAGGAAGGGGCTGCCACACAGCCCCGGGCATTGTTGGGGAGAAGGCCCTGCCTATCCCCTGACTAGTCCGTTCACCCTGCTGTAGGAGCGGGAGGACCAGCTGGTCCCCGGGCAGCTGGTGGCCATGCTGCAGGGCATAGCGTCTGGCATGAACTACCTCAGTGACCACAATTATGTCCACCGGGACCTGGCCGCCAGGAACATCTTGGTGAGTCAGAACCTGTGCTGCAAGGTGTCTGACTTTGGCCTGACCCGCCTCCTGGACGACTTTGATGGCACCTACGAAACCCAGGTTAGAGCCCTGCACACACCACGCACCCACTCACACGCACTGTTACCTGCCGTTCATAGTCATGCGTGTGCAAGCACACGGACTCATGCTCACATGGGCACCATAACCTTCCATCCCCATCCCACGTGCCTTCTTAGGGAGGAAAGATCCCCATCCGCTGGACAGCACCTGAAGCCATTGCCCATCGGATCTTCACCACGGCCAGTGACGTGTGGAGCTTTGGGATTGTGATGTGGGAGGTGCTAAGCTTTGGGGACAAGCCCTATGGGGAGATGAGCAATCAGGAGGTGAGCCTGGAATATTCCGCCCCGTGTCATCCCTAACTCACAGCTTGCATCACTTCCCAAAGTCCTCCCATGGTCTTTCCTACAAAACCCTTATGTCTTCACTGCCAAGTTTTCCTACACTCCTGTCTCCTCTGGTCCCTTCACCTCACACCCTCCCCTTTCTACTCCTCCCACCCTGGTCAGGTTCCTTAGAGGCTCCACGCAGCAATCTTGTGAACATAGGCTGCTCACGGGCATCCTCCCTGCCCCCCTGCAGGTCATGAAGAGCATTGAGGACGGGTACCGGCTGCCCCCTCCTGTGGACTGCCCTGCCCCTCTGTACGAACTCATGAAGAACTGCTGGGCGTATGACCGCGCCCGCCGGCCCCACTTCCGCAAGCTGCAGGCGCATCTGGAGCAATTGCTTGCCAACCCCCACTCCCTGCGGACCATTGCCAACTTCGACCCCAGGTAACCATACCAGGAAAGGACTAGGCAGCTGTCCCCCACCTTTTTGGCACCAGGGACCAGACTCATGGAAGATAATTTTTCCACTGGGTTGCGGGGGACGGGAGAGATGGTTTCAAGATGATTCAAATGTATTACATTTATTGTGCATTTTATTTCTATTATTATTACATTGTAATATATAATGAAATAATTGTACAACTCACCATAATGCAGAATCAGGGGGAGCCCTGAGCTTGTTTTCCTGCAACTAGATGGTCCCATCTTGGGGTGATGGGAGACAGTGACCGATCTGACAGGAGGCGGAGCTCAGGCGGTGATGCCAGCGATGGGGAGCAGCTGTAAATACAGATGAAGCTTCACTCGCTGGCCTGGCCTGCCACTCGCCTCCTGCTGTACAGCCCTGTTCCTAACAGGCCACACACCCTACCAGTTTATGGCCCTGGGGTTGGGCCCACAGGACTAGGGAATTCAGAGAACAGATCTGGAAGAATGGAAATGGCATTCAGCCACATCTACCAAGGGCTGGACCCAGGGAGCCCTGGACAGAGTCCAATGCATGAAACGGGACTATAGTCTGTGCCCTGGGGGAGAGTCCAGTAAGTAGGTCAGCTCCAGGCTACTCCCATTTGCAGAAAATCAATTATAGCCAGGCCTCTATTCCCTAACTCCATTTAGGCTGGGGTCTCCATCCTTTCCCTTCTCAGGCTGCCTAACCTGGAACCCTCCCTGGACCCATCCGTGCTAGTCCCACTGCATCATACTGTGGCCCAGTCTGAGACTTGGGGTGCATACTCTTCCCCATAGGAATAGGAAAAGGTCGTTCATTCAACAGGTTTTGGAGAACCTGCTGGTGCAAGCTCTTTACTGGACGTCGGAGATAAGCTGCACTTACGACCTGGTACCTGCTCCAGGGAGCTTGGGCAGCCAGGTTGGGGTGCGGGAGGCAGGGGCAGCCTTGTGGGGCCTGGGAAGGCTCCCTGATCACATGGTCAGCCGGGGAGGGGCTGAGAGCTGGCAGGCTGCAGGCAGCACAGGGTGACAGCAGCGTCCAGTCCAGGGACAGCAGCCACGAATCTGGGGGAACAGCAGGAATCAGCACAAAGAGGACCAGCCCTGTTGAGAAGTTTAGACTTTACCTTGAGTGTAGAGAACCAATTTTTTAAAATTGTCCATAAGAGGAACAGGGTCAGAATGGCCTTTTTTCCAAAAACACGGCCAGAACGTAGAGAATGAACTGATGGGCGTTGCAGCGGCAGCGCCACGGGCAAGGCTGTACTTCACGTGCTTGATCGGGTAGCCAGCCTGGCATACTGGCCTCTGTGTCCAACCACCATATATAACCTTGTTTCTGGGAGAAAATGTGCTCCAAGTTCCAACCTTTGAAACTATCTTTTGGAGCACAACTCCCTCGTGCACTGGAGGCTGCATGTGCTAATCTTTCTGGAATGTTGGATATTTTTCCCCCAGCAGATTTACTTTGCTAATGGTTTTTGGCTCTGGCCGGCCTAGTACAGGAACACTCATTGTATTGTGGGTGTCAGAGTGCGAGAGTAACAGCCCAGGTCGAAGGTGGCAAGCAAAGGCCGCTCCAGAACTCCAGCAGCCGCTCTGGAAAGGGGAGGGCCACGCACCACTGCCCAGGCCTCTGTTCCCCTGCCTTAGCTTCCTCTCGGTTGGGGAACTTTCACGTCTTAACCGGGCCCCAGTCCACTGCCTGGAACCAGCCACTTCTGCTGGGGACTCCCGGGGCTGCCACTTTCCCTGGGTCTGTCATGTAGCAGGACTGTCAGCCGGCCCACTGCTGCGAGCACCCCAGGAAACAGGCCAGGCAGTGGGCGCACAGACAATGGCCGGGCTAATCCACAAAGTCTGGATGATTCTGTGCCCAGACACCCAGCGTGAGTGCTGGCTGCAGATGCCCAGAGGCTCAGGCTGGTCGGCCCCCACACCACGTGGGACTGACACAGCCCTTATTCCTCAGGGTGACTCTCCGCCTGCCCAGCCTGAGTGGCTCGGATGGGATCCCATACCGAAGCGTCGCTGAGTGGCTCGAGTCCATCCGCATGAAACGCTACATCCTGCACTTCCGCTCGGCTGGGCTGGACACCATGGAGTGTGTGCTGGAGCTGACTGCCGAGTGAGGACCCTGGGGCGGCTCGGCGAGGGAGGGCCGCTGGGGTGGAGCCTCCAGACTCACAGTCCCCTTCCTTGCCCACAGGGACCTGACGCAGATGGGAATCACGCTGCCCGGGCACCAGAAGCGCATTCTTTGCAGTATTCAGGGATTCAAGGACTGAGTGGCAATACCCGCTCCACCAGCCCTCCTCAGGGAGCAAGGACGGGCCGTGGTCACCTGTGGTCACTCACGGTGCCCCTTCTCTCAACCTTCCAGACACGGGCTATTGGTGCTGCTCCTGCCCACCTTCGGCAGAACCCTGCCTCTGGGCCCTGGAGGCCTGTTTGTTTTAAAAAGGAAGGGTGGCGGGTAGAAGTAAAAAGGCAATGGCAGGAGGGAGGTGGGGAAGGCTTAATATATATACATACATATACAGATATATTTTTGTAAATAAACAGGAAATGAGTTTTCACCTTTACCCTGATCTTTTTATCCCACCATCCCTCCATCCCACCCAGAAGGGCTGTAGACACTGCAAAAAGAGTCACTGCTATAAATTATGGAAAACAAGGTTTTTTATTTGTAGCTGTAGCCACAACCTGGCAGCACAGGGGAAGGTGGGAGCGTCCAGGCCGGTCAGCCCAGGCTCCCGGAGGGTCAGGGCGTCTCCGGCCCTCAGCAAGCAGAGTACAGAGGCTGCTCGGGGCCGGCCAAGGGCGTGGGCGCAGCAGTGAAAGCAGCAGCACTAACCTGGTGCCCCCTCAGGTGGGGCACCTGGAGGACGGTGGGTGATCCCTGAAGGGCGGGCAAGGACTGGAGCCCAGGGCTTTAGAGCCCGGGGCTGGGACTCTGCATCCCTAGGCATGTTGGGGCCCTGGGTCAGGGCACTTGGGACACTGGGGGAGGGGTGGGTTTGGAATGGAGGGAGGGGCTAGACATCAAAACAATAACTGGGACAGGTGGACGGTCAGACGGGTGAGGGGGCAGTTGGTCTCAGTGTGGGTGGTCCACAATCTGGGGGGCCGGTCCTCACTCAGGTCTGGGCTCTAGCAGTGTGGCACTTCCGGCAAAGGACATGGCCATCGAGGGGGAAGCAGCCGTTGTCATCAGCCTCAATTGACAGGGGCTTCCCACAGTCCTGGAAGAAGAGGGGATGAGAGAGGCACTGGCCAGGAAGGCCCCACCCCTGCGGCTCCATCTTGGAATTAGAAAGGCCAGACGCTTCATGGCCTAGAGCTGGTGTCTTCCCAGCCACACCCACCTCCCCATCCCTAACCCACTTCCAATCTCCTGGGACAGGACCAACAGTGGGTAGAGCTGCTTCCAAGGTGCCCGCTGCCCACTGCCACCCCGATAAAGTCTTTGGGGCCTCTCCCATCCCACCACAGCCCCCTCTGCCTCTCTAACCTCCTGACTCCCCATTCCCTGCCCTCCCCTCAGCTGCTCCCCTTTCTCGGTCTACCCATGACTCAGAGTGGCCTTACGAAAACTCACAGTCCCTCTCCTGCTGCGACAGGAAGCATTCGGGCAGGGTGGCCATGGCCACCCTCAAAATCAGCCCCATTTCCTGCAGGCTGGCATTTTCCACCGCCTGGTTAGGAAGCAGGGTCTCCCACCACCGCCTGGCCGGAGCCTGCCCAAGGAGCCCCGAGGGACGGCTGACCTCACACTTGTAACACTTCATGTGGAAGTTCTTGTCCAGAGCAACCACTCGCACGGTCTCATCGCGGCCAGGCTCGGGCATGATGGGCTCAGCGCAGACGGAGCACTTCGGGGCGTATTGCCTGGCAGGAGTAGAAAGGGGCCGGGCAGAGTCAGCATGGGGGCTGTCACCCCCCACCCCCCGTGAGAGCACAGGGTAAGGACACGGAGGTTGTGTGGCACCGAGGCAGACTTCTTCGCCCCACACCTCCAGGTGGAGGAAGCTCACCAGAAAGGCCTAACACCCCTCGTCAAGGGGAATTTCCTGCCCCCACACGCACTTTTGTCATGGGGTTCTCTCCCACTGGGTCCTTACCCCGTTCCATCCACACTGCAGCTCCTATAGAACGCATGCCCCAAGGCACCCCCCGCTCCCATCCCAGGATCCCCAACGCTCCCTCCACCCCCCATGTGGGATGTGAAGTCCTGGACACCCCAGGTAGAATCCTGACAGTGCATACCCCCAACACTGTCAGAGCTGGGGGTCAGATTCTGCAGTTTCCCACAGCCCATTAGCCGCATTAGGAGACTTTTCTGCAAGCCTGAGAAAGCCACCTTGTAATCACTGTCTCTGGGGAGAAACCAGTGTTCCAAACAGCTGATCTCCAAAAGAACTTTTAGAAACCAGCCTGTGTGTGAAAAGACGTCACTCCAGCACACTTTGCTAAACACCAGACACACAACCAAAATAAGCCTTGGTGAGGCAAGGGCTAGGGTGGGACCAGCCAGTAGAGGGACCCGCTACCCAGGCCTAAGGCCACTGGACAGCCAAATCCAGATGACTTGGCCCCTGTTGTCTACAGAAAGCGAGCCTGGGGTTTGGGGCCATCCTGGGCCAGGGTGGCAGCCTGCTACCAGGCCAAGCACGGAACCCAGAGAACGGCCCAGAAGGTGGGTAGGCAGGTTCTCACTTGTGGTAGTCAGGGACGCAGTGGGGCTGGTTGGCCTGGTCCACGATGAAGGAGGTGCCCTCCAGCGGGCAGGCGCAGACCACGCAGGTGAAGCACTGCGGGTGGTAGGCCTTGCCCGTGGCTCTCAGCATGCGGTCGGTGATGGGCTGCCCGCAGGTGTTGCACTTCTCCAGGGTGTCCTGAGAAGGCAGCAGGACGAGGTTGGCAGGGAACCGGTACCACCCAGCGGGCTTCCACTGCCGTCCGCCCAGCCCCACTCAGCCCTACTCACAGTGTAGCAGCCCTCGCAGTAGGGCACCCCCTCCAGGCTGTAGAACTGCTGCCCCTGGAGCTGCTGTGCGCACTGGCGGCAGGTGAAGCAGGCGATGTGGAACAGCTGCCCCAGCGCGCGCACGGCGGGCTGCCCCCGGGCCAGGGGCTGGCGACACTGGCCACAGAACTCTGGGGAGGCGAAGACAGCAATAAACGGAAGGAGGGATGGATGGAAGCTCACGCAGTATCAGCTGCTCAGAGGGTACCACAGGCCTGGCCCCCACAGCCAGGAAGGGGGAGGTGTCCCAGTGGGGAGTGGGCTCACCATTGACCGCCACGTTCTGCCGCTGAGGGTGCTCCATGTCCTGCATCAGCTGCTGGGTCAGCTGCTCCAGCTCCTCCACCTCCTTCAGAGTCAGGGGTCCTGGGGCCCCAGGGGAGCGCACCTGAAACCCCAGCACTGCCTTCACACCGGAGGTCACTCCCTCCACGCGCCCCTCCAGGCCCCGCCCTTCCTCCAGTGAGGGACTCAGCTCCCAGATGCTCAGATTTGACCCCTAAAGCTCCTCCTTCTCCCTCCCTTCTCTGACCCGTCCCCAGCACCACACAAATAACAGAGGGGAAGGGGGTGACCTTAGCTGGATCTCACACAGCGAGACATGTCCACCCGCTTTGCCCAAGCCCCCTTGAGCAGTCACAGACAGGCCAGAACGACTGGGCAGACGGAGGCCACACACACAGCAGCCCAGGTCACTTAAGCACTGGACACGCCAGGGCCACATAGCAACCCCACAGAGCATGCTCAGACACGGCCCCCACGGCAGAGGGGCACGCAGTGGTGCACACACGCGCACACACCTACCCGTCCCGCGTGCTGCCGAGCAGCCCCTGTCAGCGTGAGGATACAACACAGGCGGGAATCACAGGTTAAACCCCCAGAGCTGTCTGCAGGGGCCCAGCCCCCAGCTCCCTTCCCAGCAGGCCTCAGAGGAGGTCCAAAGGCCACTCCCTAGGCCAACCCACCACTGCCAAGTAGGGGACCCTGGGTGCTGGAGACCAGGGGTGGGTGGAGTTTAGGGTCAGGGCCCTGCGTGTAACCCGGAGAACTCTGGGAGGGGCCATTGGACCTGCACCAGTGTTTCCAAGAGACACTCCCACAGGAACATGGGACAGGGGTCTCCTCTATGACTGCAGAGTCCACCCACGTCTGTGGCCCCATCACTGAGTGCTCTACCTGCTAGTGCTGCCGTTCCCATTAACACCTGCAATCTCCCAAGCCTCCCTGTTACCTTCTCCTGGGGCCACCCTCCTTTTACTGTGGCCCCGCCCCCCACCCCACCCCCTCTTCATCCAGAGACCCACAGAAGTCCCACCCCCTCCCCCAGGTCTTAGCCGCTTTCCGTTAAGATCCTGCCATCTCCTACCCTTAACCAACACATGTCCCTGTAATGCAAGCATCACCTCTAGTCTTCCCTTCCTGGCATCTTGGGGACAGAAGAAAAGGGCTCAGCCAGCCCTTGCTCTCTGGTGCCACATCCATTTTGGGATGCCTCATGCCAAATGCCTCATCCATTTTGGGAAGCATGACATCTTCATCTGCGTCCCCTCCCTGTAAGCATCCTCATCCTTCAGGACACTCTATCCAGCCACTGTGCCCTCTGCCAGCCAGCATCAGTGCCCCTGCTTCAGCAACCACTCTCCAACCTCTAGCTCTTCGACGTCCCTCCGTCTCAGGCACCTTCTGCACGGGACACCCTGAACCTAAGTTTTACCTCTGAGTCCCCGTCCAACCACCACCTGCCTCTCTTCCTCACCAGAAAGACTTTCGTTCCCCTAACCCCCAGCCCACCCCTGGGTCTTGTCCACCAAAGCCCCAGCTGGGCCTGGGGCCATCTGCTCCCGCAAGGCTCTCGCTGTCCCTCCTGCCACCCGCAGCTATCTGGCCCAATCTCCAACCCCAGGTCACACTGCTGCCCGCTTCCTGTTTCTGCCTCCACACTGCAGAAAGTAGGTGGGGCGCTCACCGAACACTGCAGTGAGCTCAGGACGCTGCAGTGCCCTCCCCATGCAGCTGTTCCAAATCCATCTCCTGTGCCCAGCCCACTGCCTGGCCCCTCGCTGGCGCCCATGACTTCACCTTGACCGTGGAAGCCAGCCAGTGCCAGCTCCTTACTGTCCTTCCTCTCCCCCGCAAACACAAACGCTGCTGCGACCCTACCCTTGCTCTCTGGATGCCTCTGCCGGGGGGAGGCGTCCCCACGCTCTCCCAGGGCTCAGCACCACAGTCCTGCCTCACACCCTGCTCCCCTCCTCCAGGGCGCTTCCTCCCCAGACCTGGAAATCACACACACCACACCACACACTCATACACACCCACATTAACACTCACACATACACACCACACACGTATCCACACAATCTCACACACTCTCACACAGTTACACATCACACTCACGCAAACACACACACATACACCACACCACACGCACCCCTCACACGTTCACCTTCACACATACACACACCACGCTCACTTTCACACACACTCTGTCACACTCACGGTCCTTCCC